AACACAGACCTTTGGATTTAATTTGATTAGCTCGCTCATTTACGGATAACCTTTGAAATTGCTTACACTTATAAATTGGATGGTTATCATTACAATGGATACATTTTACGCTTGTTATAGCAGCGTGGGATGCTGTTGTTTTTAACGAACCAGCTTGACGTGTATTAGTACCTACTTGAACCGATTGACCTCGTCTAGCTACAGCCTCTAATGTTTGACATCTTCGGGCTAGGAAATCTGTGAGCTCTTGAAAGCTGGGTATCCTCGTCGTGTCTAAACTATTTTCTCATTCCTTTATCGTGTAAAAATCCAACTTGCTAGTGACTATGTGTACTAATAAATCATCCCACTGTGAGATAGGTCGCTTTAACGCTCTTAACGCTCTTGTGTGTTTTAGAACGCCGTCTAACACTGTACGAATAGCTACGTCGTTCTCTTTCCTTACTAATGGTAAATCAAAAATAGCTTTAATGTGATTTTGCACTGCAAGTCTCTCGTTATCGTATCTTTTAATCTGGATCAAGCATCGGCATAATTAAGACTGGATATTTGCAAAGAAGCTATAGTTTCTGCCGCGTCGCCTTTCAATCCCGATTTCAAGTAATGAAAACGCTGTACGTCATTCAGAGTCTCATTAGAATGAATTAATGAGTTAAATATATCATAAAACGGATGCCAATCTTCATAGGCTCCTGAAAATGTGGGCAAATCAATTTTAGGTAATCTTATGTGGCTATTACTTTGCCTCGGCAGTTCGTTCATAAAACCGATTNATTGACCCAGATCANTATTCGTAGCAGCTGGTCTAACGCGATCCCTTATTATTTTTTCTCCTGATAACTTTATTNTAATGTATTTGTCCTCATAGCTTTCTAACTCTTNGTCGACTTGTGTATCAGTCAAATTTTCGTCTAATACCNACAACTCTACTTGTATTTCTATTAAANATTTCCATAATTCTTCTAACGTATTCAATCTTAATTTTACTTCGTCAAGATCGACTGTATCGCGCTCGATATTTCTCATAAAACTTTCTAATCGCGTGAGACCAGCTTTAGTTATCTTTTTTCTTTGTTTAATTTTGAGCAATTCTTCGTTGGATGCCATGATAACTGCGCTTTATACGTACGGAACTTATTCAAAATAATGAAAATCTCGTAGTTAAAGTGATCGAAAAGATTGGCTAACGTACATACGTATGCAAACAAACAAAAAATTTGACAATATTGCGTTGAGGTTGACTTACTTTCGAATCNTTACCGCTAATTGCTCGTTACCGTACATAAATGCAGAACTTATACTANATGTGATGTGTATCTACGCTTTTCAAATCCTTCTTTGTGTGCTGTAGCAGCTTTGTCCGCCTTCTGTTGTATTGGTTGCTTTCTCCTCGTGTGTGNTGGACGCTGTCTCCTCGCGCCGTAACGAACANTTTTACGCCTTGTATAATNGACGCTGTCTCCTTGATATAATNAACTCGCCCGTCTTATTGNACTTGACTTGTCGTTTTGTAGTATTGTTATTGATGCGAATTTGGANTGGATCTTCCAAATCCCGATNATGCGTTGCTGCTCTTAGCGATAAATATATAANNTTCTTNNAGTTTCCTCCTGACCGTCTCGTGATCCTCGTTGTCCCGATGCCTCTTGTTGCGCCGAGAGGAAGAAAATTNGTATATAACTTCTTGGGATGCTAATTCACTCTAGTACTATCCGGCTCNAAGGACCATGTTTTAATTGAAGAATACTGAGCCTCTTAATGATGTAGACTGCAGGAAACTTNAGTTTTGATTATGTCTTTATTTCGTAATAGAAAGCCGGCACGCTGCCAGTACAAAGGATGCCTATCATGGCCGTTCTTAGATTGNTTAACCTTTTTCTACTTCTTCCCAACCGCTACTACGCTAACAGCGCCGCCGCGCCTTACATAACGCAACTAAAAATACCAAATAATCTATCGGTACTCACGAGACGGCTCTGACTTTTTAACATATAAATTAATTTAATATTGCAAAATATATCAGAATGGAGGTAATTAAATATGTTTATTTCTATAGATTTATTTATAGAGTGAGTTACTTTTCCAAAATTTATAGTTAAATGATATTAAAAAAAATATATAATAGCTATTAAAATGGCTTTTTTACTACGTATAAAATTGATTTTTTTTTTGAAATGAGTCTTGAGAAGTATAGAAAAATAATAAGGATTTCTCTAATTATAATTAAAAATATAATGATTGAGTATAAAAGAGATTTTTTCAGTATGGATGAGTTTCTACAAATTAGTAATGAGTACAAGACTAATAGGAAGATAAGATGAGGTGGATGAAAGTTATTTTATATCATAAAGATCATTATTGTAATTATAAGGGCATATATTAAAGGCACAGTTACTTTTAATTTGTGTATAATTTAGTTGTTTGTATAATATAATTACACAGCCACACAAAAAAAAAAATTTCTTTGGCCTGGGGATCAGACCATGTTTATTATATGTTTTTGGGGTCGCTGAATCCGAATCCGAGGTCCATTAAACCTATCGGGTCGGGGTTCCGCCATAACCTCAAAAAACACCATAATCTGAGCTCGAAAC